AAACTCCTAAAATCAAGTAGAAAAACGAAGATGTTTTTAATGTTATTATAACATAACCGTGAACTAATTTATTACAGTGCAGGCCTATGCTATTTATTAATTATGTATGAGAAGTGTCACAGCTAGTTCACTTCTCAAATTAAAAGATAGGCCTAAATGCTTGCCCTAATATCCGTTGTTCTTTTTGAAATAATATAAGTAACACGGGTTGCTTTTGGTGTTACACGAATCTGTTTATTTGAGGGTTCAAAAGCTATAAAGCAGACGCATGTAATGAGGATGTGTCCTGTCAGTGATTGCCACATTACAAGATGTTATGGTGTCGCCCCGGGCTGAGAGAGACTACGCCCGTATTGAAATGTGCCCTGCAGAGATCCACAAGATCCAGACTTTATCCGTTCAACAGTATAAACACGACGGGAAACGGGAATGCCGTGTTTAACCAATAGCGCTCGGCTTCCTTTAGAGCGCCTTTCCGTAAAGGCCTCAGTAACGGTTTACCCACGCCGCGCGTCCCTTGAGACCAGCTCTTGGGAAGGTTTAAAGCGATCAAGAACAATGAAACTGGCCTATCACATCAAGTGCAGCGCACCAGTCCTCCGAGCAAAATGGATCACGTTAACCCATATTCCAAACGCAGGGCAAGCCAGACGCTTATAACCACATGCACCAGCGGGCTTTGCGCCGGTTCTGTCAGCCTGTATTTTTGCATCTGGCAAACATGGCCATAGTCCGTGTTAACACTGATTAGGTCTCTCAACTCAGGTGGTTCAACGTGGACAAGTGTCACATCTTGCAAATGCAAACGAATGTAAAATTGTATTGGAGCTGTCTGCAAGCGCATGCCTCTGCGTGCCTTTCTCTCTGAAAGATTAGCAATGCTGTGGTTTTAGACACTTCCGGAATCCTGTAGACAACTTGAAAAATGCCATACCCCATCCCTAATTTATACTCTGATCTGTAATTTTATCCACAATTGCTCCAGTTGAGCATTCTGGCTCCCCGATCTGAAAGCCTGCAATTACTATATAATTCTTCGCAATTTTAGATGTCCTAATATGGACTGTAATTTTTGTGCAAGACAATTTCCAGCTATTTCAAGCATCAGCATTGTCAAAGTTGTATGTACATAATAAATGGTAATATCAATGCATAGTTTTTAGCATAACATCTTGACTCCGCGATAATTATATCCGTTTGGAGCCTACGCAAAATTAGCCTGAATTGCATGGTAACTGCTGCTTTAAATTTTTAAAAATTACTCATAATTTTCCCAAAGATTACCAAGATCTCGAGTGCACAATGTCATCAGCGTAATGAGGAGTAAACATTTATGCTAATAATCAGCAATTTTTTCCATCAGCTATAAAGAGGGAAAATAAAGCAGGATTTTTCATTCCTGCTCGGAGAGCGTCTGTCAGCTCTGAGCCCAGCTAGAGGAGGCAGATTTGGGGACCCAAAGAGCCGAACCTATGCCATGACTGCTGGATGCTCTTTTCAAATTCTTCTGCTTCTCTCAAGACTGATAGGCACCTTAGAGCTACTATAGACGACCTGCCAATCTTTGCGTTCTCGTTTATTGCAGATTAAGGTAAGAAGGATGCGCATTCATTTTACACACATTTTATTAACTTGTTTTTTTTTTTTTTTTGCACACGTTATTATGAGGTATTATAATAAGTCAAACAATGTGAAATGCGCGCTTTGCATCTAAAGATAATTAGATGAAAATAGTATTTTGAAATTTTGGTATGTAGCATTACTGGAGCATCTAAGACGTATAAATATCGCCGGAGCATTCTTCAAAATGTAACAATAATAGAAACGTCGTCACTAAGCGAATAATACTGTTGGCTAATTTGAACGAATTTGGTGGCTAAAAACGCTGGAAAATCTTATTCGGTTATGTGGAGAAGCTACACCATGTGCTGCTTTGAATCAGACTAGAGTGGTGTACCTCATTAATAAAGCTGTCTGAAATTGCGAGATAGTTTGTCTATAGAATCCAGTCGAAAATAAAGCAGCCCTTGTTCTATAATTTCACCTCTGCCTTCATCACTCCGACATTGTGCTTTTGCTCATTTTGATCCCTCTTCCCATTGACAAATCTCTCGGTATACACCTGCAAGCAATTTGCCAGCCTTACTTATAACTACCGCTGCGCACCTATTTCACTCTCTCTTTTTTCCTTTTCTTTTCTCCCCCATCGCACAGCAAATTTTCTTTCAGTGCGCTATCTCTTTTGTTAACAAAAGATTCCACGTGCGAAATAAAATTGCTCATAATTATCCCGTAGATGGGAAGCTGCATTAGAATAAGTAAGGAGGGAATGACTGTAATTATGTCTGGTTTGATGGGCCCGGCGCGTAATCAAGAGGAGAATAGAGTGAAATAACGCTGACCCTCTCTGCTCCACAGCTGCATGTCGGAGAAAGAGACAGAACAACGCGGCTTCTTCTTCTTTTCTTCCTTCCCAAGAGTTGTGTTTGGAATATTTTTTAGGAAAAAAATGAGATATTTTACATTTATATGTGTGTAACACTCGTCAAATGTGCGGTACAAGTTGTTGCATTGATTCATATCAGTATGAGCCCATCTTTAACAAATGTTAATCGAGAAAATAGGCGTTTTTTATCCGTATTCTGAAAATTAGCTAGACGGCTGGAAATTCCCGAGAGAAGAATAAACAGAGGAGTGCCATTCACTCTGGAAACCGGTGAAATGGACACAGCATCAAAAGCATAAAACGAATTAATAAACATTGTGATCTATAACCTGATACCACGGCAGAGACTGCAAAGAATAATAATAATAGGACTACTAGTCAACAATAACATTTATATATATATATATTAATCTGGAGTCGCATTAATGAAGTCAGAGAGAACTGCTGGCGCATTGAGCTTGTGATCAGAGCGCGCGGGGCCATTTCCTTTTTAAAGACCACACATGAAGAGTGTCAAAATTAGTCACAATAATTGCTGCACCCCCAGCACCTACTGCAATGGTAAGAACTCAATACTCAAACAGCAGATGCAAGGCCAACCGAATTCACAGTATTTCTAATATCTTAGTTTCTCTTTATATATATTTTAGGATGCAGAATGTATTCAAATCGTATTGTTCAAATCCAATTTTAGACCCTACATCTTTATCATTATTCATTTAATAAATAATAATAATAATTAAACAAGTAAATTAAATTATTAAGAATAGAATCGAACGAATATAGGCCTATCCACGAAAGAACAAAATAATAGCTAACTGGATATTCTATTCTATTATTGCTTGCCGGCATCTATCTGCATCAGAATGTTCTTCAAATGCGCAGTTAAAGCATCAGCCCCAAACAAAAGACACTTTGAACATGTCATTCTTTACCTATCTGCATCTGCCCCCCTCCCAGCCCCAGTCTTTCTTCATCTGCCCCTCTATGAGCGGCACCTGCCCGATTATTCACTTAACACACGGCCTTCAAAAGCAACCACACAAGCGCAGAAAAGAGCTTATAGCGGCTAAACGAAAGTGAAAAGAAACAAGTGCCCTTATTGTCGGAGGAATTACTGTGTTACAGAAACCACCACAAGATTAATCGGTGGTTCAGATTGCAATGAAAAGCTAGAGGTGTCGTTTTAAAAAAAAAAAAGAAGACACAAAACGGCCAAATTGAGCAAGAAGAATATGAAGATTTTTGTAAATTATTTTATGCTAATTTAATATCTGTACGGGCTCAAATGGCTAAAATATATATTTTTTTATTATTATTAATCAAAATGCTTTTTTATTTTGTTTGAAAAGCGCGGTATCTGTAGACAACAAATCGTTTTGGGTATTGAAACAAGTTGGCTAAATATTGAGATAGGCCTATTTATTTACAAAACAAGTTTGATTTTTGCATTAGTTCAGTTGTGTCATCAGTTACCTGAGTTTCATTCATTTTCTTTTTTTGGCAAAGCAATAAACGTTGCGATGACATTTTGTAACTTCTTTCATTTTACTGTTCGAGTTTACACATTATACAAGACTCCATGAAACAAAAACAATAAATTAATGTGACCGGTAACTATTTTTTCAATGTGAAACGGAAAGACACATGAATTTGAATCAACATAATCACGTTCAGATCCTTTTGCACAAATTATTCAGCACACAACGAAAACGATTATTTCTGTACATTAGAGCTGTCAACACTTCCCATCTAACGGTGATGATAGACGCGTTTATCTGCACTCCGCTTCTCTTTGTAGGATCCCCAAAAAACACTCAGCTTTACAAACTGGGCTCAGATCCGAGGGAAGTGTTTCTATTTTATAGTGCAGCCTCACATCATAATTTAAAGAACATTTATTTTAAATAAAACATACAAACAGATAAAAAACAAAAACAGAATTCTAAATAAGTTATATTTAAATAAACACAAAACGCCATACATACAAAATAACTTTGTTTAAAGATTTCTTTGTACCCTTTAAAATGGGGAAAATCTCGAGACGTTCATACTTGCTCACGGTGTGATTTATCCCAGTTTCTACACGTTCACCGCGCCACGGCGAAGCCTGAAGCGACTGTATGAGCTTTTGGAAAAAAGCGCATTTCTCACTCACAGCCCAGCACTTTGCTGTGGATGGACAAACCGGTAATTCCAATTTTCTTACGGAAAATTACAAATTTGAAGAAAATGAAATACATTTCTGGCTAGGTTAAGTTTCATGATTTTTTTTTAC